TATACTATTCTATTTACTTCATATATGTTTGAAGTTTTCCAAAATAAGAAATGGTTTGGTACAGCAAGTTGCTAACCAACTTTGCAAAAGGCTTATATTGTCTTCCTTGCATGCCTTGTTATCTTTGAGAGATTTGTTGCTAGAATAATAATGGCTAGCCTTCTGCTATATTGTCTTGTGAGTACAAATGATGCTGAAGTAGATTTTTTTTGAGTTGGAGTCTCACTGTCCCCCAGGCGGGAGTGCAGTGGCACCCTCACGGCCACCCCAGTGACAACCTTCTGGGCATGGTGATCCTTCCACCTCAGCCTTCCAAGTAACTGGAACTACAGGTGTGTGCTACCATGCCCAGCTAGTTTTTTTGATTTATTGTGGAGATGAGGTCTTGCCAAGTTGCCCAGGCTGGTCTTGAACCTGAGGGCTCAGGCAATCCACTCACCTCAGCCTCCCAAAGTGCTGGGATTACAGGCTTGAGTCACCATGCCCGGTCTCACAGAGATTTAAGTAAAGAAACTTGTACTTTTTCTTGAACTAGAGGGTTTTTTTGTTTGTTTTGAGTCACAGTCTCACTTTGTCACCCAGGCTGGAGTGCAGTGGCATGCTCATGGCCACTGCAGCTTTGACCTACTGGGCTCAGGCGATTCTTCCACCTTAGCCTTCCAAGTAACCTTCCAAGAACTACAGGCATGTGCCACCAAGCTCGACTCATTTTTTCTTGATTTTTTTTTGTAGAGATGAGGTCTCGCCAAGTTGCCCAGGATGGTCTTGAGCCTGTGGGCTCAGGCAATCCTCTCACCTTGGCCTCCCAAATTGCTGGGATTATAGGCATGAGCCACTGTGCCTGGTCCTGAACTTGAGGTTTTAAAATTACTTACTTGACTTTCAGCACACTGTGAATTAAATAAAAGACTAAAAGAATTTTTGACGGGTTAAAAATAAGACTGCCTTAGAGAACGGCCCCACTACATTCTAAGCAAGTAGTTGAGTTGCAGCACATTGTCCCCTATGCCTTGGGGATCCTACTTTTTTTTTTTTTTTTGAGCTGGAGTCTCACTCAGTCGCCCAGACTGGAGTGCAGCGGCCGCTCCCAGCCACCGCAGCCTTGACGTGTGGGCTCCGGCGATCCTTCCGCCTCAGCCTTCCAAGTAGCCGGAATTACAGGCACGCACTACCGCGCCCGGCTAATTTTTAATTTATTGTAGGGATGAGGTCTCGCCAAGTTGCTTGGGCGGGTCTCGAACCCGTGGACTCAGGCAATCCACTCATCTCAGCCTCCCAAAGCATGGGATTATAGGCTGAGCCACCGAGCCCGGCTAGAGGATCCTACTTTATGTCTCTGAAATACAAAGTATTAGGTTGTTATGATTACATGTTAACAAATAGAACAGATTTTCCTAAACCACAATTGGTACCATTAGTTCACAATTGAAAGAAATTTGTTATTATATAATGCTTGACACCAAAGAAAAAGTTTTCATCACATAATACATCTCTTTTATTGAAAATGTGTGATATTTAAGCACAGATGTCTCTCATACTTCAGGAAGTCCCAACTTCAAGTAACTAGGAATTGTGAACTCATGTGTATCCTATTTACTCTCTTACTTTTTATTTTTTTATTTTTCTTGGAGTCTCACTCTGTGGCCCACACTGGAGTGCAGTGGCCGCCCCGGGCCACCATAGCCTCGACCTGCTGGGCTCCAGCAATCCTTCCACCTCAGCCTTCCAAGTAGCTGGAACCACAGGCATGTGCCACCATGACCTGCTAGTTTTTAAAAATTTATTGTAGAGACAAGGTCTCGCCAAGTTGCCCAGGCTGATCTCAAATCCCTGGGCTCAGGCAGTCCTCTTGCCTCAGGTGTTACAGGTGCTAGGGTTACAGGTGTGAGCCACCACACCAGGCCTTAATTTTAGAATATTTTCTTTCTTTTTTTTTTGAGTTGGAGTCTCACTCTGTCGCCCAGACTGGAGTGCAGTGGCCGCTCCCGGTCACCGCAGCCTCGACCTGCTGGGCTTCAGCGATCCTTCCACCTCAGCCTTCCAAGTAGCTGGAACTACAGGTGCATGCTACCACGCCCGGCTAATTTTTGATTTATTGTAGAGATGAGGTCTTGCCAAGTTGCTCAGGTGGGTCTTGAACCCGCGGGTTCAGGCAATCCACTCACCTCAACCTCCCAAGGCGTGGGATTACAGGCTGAGCCACCGAGCCCGGCTGAGAACATTTTCATACCCCCCAAAAAACTTGTGCCCTCTAGCAGTCACTCCATTTCCTCCTAGCTACCTCAGAAACCCTCGTCAACTAGCACTTTCTGTCTCTATGGATTTGCCTATTCTGGATATTTCATATAAATTAAATAATCCAAAATGTGATCTTTTATGTCTGGCTTTTACTTAATATGCTTTCGATGTTCTTCCATGTTGTAGCATATATCAGTGCTTCATTCCTTTTTTGGCCCAATAATATTCCATTATATGGTTAGACTACAATTTGTTTATCCATTTCTCATAAATGGACATTTTTAAGTTGTTTCCACTTTTTGGCTATCATGAGTAATCCTTCTAGGAACATTAATGTGTATCTTTCTTGTGGACATTGTTAGGGTACGGACAGGGTGCGGGTGGAGTGTCGCAGCACCACCACTGGAGCTGGCATGCCAGAGGTGCCGCGCTGGGAACCCAGAGATCCGAGTAAATGCAAAGAATTGCAACACACAAATAGGTTAAGAAAGGAAAGTTTATTTAAAAGTAAATTAAGCCAGGCTCGGTGGCTCAGCTTGTAATCCCGCGCCTTTGGGAGGCTGAGGTGAGTGGATTGCCTGAGCCCGCGGGTTCGAGACCCGCCTGGGCAACTTGGCCAGACCTCATCTCTACAGTAAATCAAAAAATTAGCCGGGTGTGGTAGCGCATGCCTGTAGGTCCAGCTACTTGGAAGGCTGAGGCGGAGGGATCGCCGGAGCCCACAGGTCGAGGCTGTGGTGGCCGGGAGCGGCCACTGCACTCCAGTCTGGGCGACAGAGTGAGACTCCAACTCAAAAAAAAAGTAAATTAGAGAGAAAAAGAGAAGGAACAAAGAAGATTCACCTAACCCAGGGAAACACAGCGACAGCCATGGCTCAAAGAGCACATGGCCCCACCAGACTCCAGCAGGGCAATGGCCACTGGTTGCTTGTAGTTGAGTCCTTTTAACCATTCCCCTTGATCTGGGTGACAGAGTGAGACTCCAACTCAAAAATAAATAAATAAATAAGTAAGTAAATAAATAAAGTCCTAAATACTAGCTGAGTTACAGGTGAGAGAAAGCATAGGAAAACCAACTGAATGTTATCTAGTCCAGCTGAAGAAATCGGTACCTTTTTTTTTTTTTTTTTAATGAAAGTATTTATTTTGGCCAAACTTGGTGACTCAGCCTGTAATCTCAGCACTTTGGGAGGCTGAGATAAGAGAACTGCCTGAGCCGGCGGATTTGAGACCAGCCTGGGCAACTTGGCGAGACCTCCTCGTCTCTACAATAATCCAACAAAATTAGCCGGGCGTGGTAGCGTGCCCCTGTAGTTTCGGCTACTTTGAAGGCTGAGGCAGAAGGATCGCCGGAGCCCAGCAGATGGAGGCCTCGGTGGCCGTGAGTGTGCCACTGCCCTCCAGAGCCTGGGCGACGGAGTGTGAATCAAAACTCAAAAAAAAAGAAAAAGAAATATTTATTTTAACTGATATAAACTGAAATTAACAAAATGTCTTTTAACAGTAGAATGAATAGATTATGATATATTCACAGTATACAGTCTATAGGTACACACAAAAATATGGGTAGACCTAAAAAACCTTAATGGACAAAAAGCAGACATTCATATAGTATGATTCAATTTTTATAGACCTTTAAAAATCGATACCTTAGCCGGGCTCGGTGGCCTTGGGTCCTCATGAGCAGTGAATTGACTATTCAAAGTCCTAAATATGCCGTCTTGGGTCCTCATGAGCAAAAAAAAAAAAAATCGATACCTTAATTTACAACCTCAGTTTCTCTGCCCCCCAAAAGTCAATTCCAAGGGATCATGCGAATTCTTTTCTTGTGCTAGTATGTTGGTTATTCTGAACACTGCTTTCCAAGAGCACTTGGAGTGGGAGAGCCCTTGGTTCTCCGAGTGTTTTCAATGCCTTCTGTTTTATTTTTTTTTATTTTTTTTTTATTGAGTTGGAGTCTCACTCCGTCGCCCAGACTGGAGTGCAGTGGCATGCTCCCGGCCACCGCAGCCTCGACCGCTGGGCTCCGGCGATCCTTCCGCTCAGTCTTTCATGTAGCTGGAACTACAGGCGCGCGGTAACACGCCAGGCCAATTTTTGATTTATTATAGAGATGAGGTCTCGCCAAGTTGCCCGAGCGGGTTTCGAACCCGCCGGCTCGGGCAACCCACTCACCTCGCCCTCCCAAAGCGCTGGGATTACAGGCTGAGCCACCGAGCCCGGCCGCCTCTTGTTTTCTAGCGAGCGCAGGGGCCGCTCCCGATCCGACTCTCGGGCGCGGAGACCCGAGGTCATAGCCGAGGGTGCGGGCGTGGACGTGTCGGAGGAAATCCGAGGCCTTCCCTGCTCGAGGGTCCTAACAAAAGCCTCCAAACCAACTCGCGTTCTCGAATTCACCACGGCCCCTCTCGCCCTCCCCTCCCTGGGAAATTGACCACCCACCCGTGAAAGCTGTATCTCTCCCGTAGCCGGTTCTTTGGGGGACGCTGACTCCTATTTCAGCCACCCAACCAAAAAAGTCGCTCCGGGAGCATCTCCCGCCACGCCCGGACCCGCCCACCTCCGCTCGGGGCGGAAGGGAGTCCTGGCCCCGCCCCCCGGGATGCGCCGGCGGCCCCGCCCCCCTCCCGTCACTTCATTGGCTCTGGTGACCGGCCCCCCGAGCGTCGGCTCCCGATTGGTCGGCTCGGCCGCCGCTCTTTGCCGCTCCTGGGGCGCGGCGAGCGTGTCCACGCCACTTACGTCCGGACGCTCGGGAGGCCGTGATCACCGCCCAGACAGAAGGAGGCCGGCCGTGCGAGCAGCTGCTATGGTGCTGAGTTCCCCGGCAAAGCCGACCGAGCCGAGGCGGTCGCGGCCATGAAGGTGAGGGGCCGGTGGAGCCGGGCAGACCCTCCTCGCCTGTCCTATGCCGCCGGGGCATCCGAAGCGTTCTCCTTTCTTTCTGCCTCTGCGCCCACCCCGCCGGCATGTCGGAGAGCTCCGCCGAGAGGTCGCCCGCCCGGCTTCCAGGGCCCCGGCCGGCCTGGGACGGAGCGGCCTGGGGGGCTCCC